GAAAGTTTGAGAAAGATTACCGAAGATTATGTGCAGCAAAAGCGCAAAGCAGTACGCAACCGTGAGGGCCACAGCCCGCACGAAGAGCTTTCTAATTCAGGCAAAGGAGGCTAATCAGTTGCAATTACGACTTTTGTTGCAACTTCAATGGGGGCAACAAAAAATGTTGTGGTCCAACTACTCAAAAAGGTAGAAGACTCCATTAAGAGCGGAGTCTACCCAGAAGAAAGCTTCTACTGAAAACATGGCCATCATTAGGGCCATTGGGAGGAGGGTGATGACCCAAACTCCCGTTGAATGAAAAAAGGCCCTTGTTGTTGAAAAAAACAGTTTCGGCCTACGAACCGATAGTTCTGTTCAGAGCACAAAATCGGTCAAACCAAATCTCAGTCAATTCTCAGGAGCCAAAGGAACACTCGTTGGCTCGACAGGGTTCGAATAAGGAACACCCGTTGGCCCGACAGAATAAGGAACACCCGTTGGCCCGACAGAATAAGAAATACCCGTTGGCCCGACAAGGTTCGATAAGGAAACTTGTTGGCCAACGGGATTTGAATCAACATCAATTGATCCGCTCTAAAAATGTAGGGATTGTTCATGAGGAATTTGCAGAAACGCAAAAGGTTCCTTCTATGCCCCTAGGGGCTAGACTTGATATGTCATCTGGTCCAGTTTCGAAAGAACAAAGGCGGAGAAGAAATAAGGCCTTAAAGAAACTGGAACTAAGAACAGTGGCAACAAATGTTGTAGGAGCTATTGAAAGGGCTCTCTTGAAAAGATGAACCCCAAAAACAAATTGAAAGTTCTGTCTTTTGTTTGAAATCCAAGGTGGAGGAGGTAGCAACCCTTGGAAATATTTCTACTTTGGTTGAACTATCTATGGAGGGAATAAGAAAAGGGCCTGTAACAAGGTCCATAACCTGTCAGGCCTCAAAAACAAAGCATTGCCGTCAGATGCTTCAAATATGAGTAATGTTGTGGAGGCTGATAATCCTTTATACGAACAAGATGATTCTATCTTGTTTGTTTCACGAATATTGGAACAATGAATTGAAAAATATCAACAAAGTCGCAGTTATGATGACTGATGTTGAGAAAGAAGGTGAAAATTCGTAGGTCCAACATGACAAGGTCTCAAGGAAAAAGTGGTGGCCCTACAAGAACAACTCGAGAGAAGAGAACGGGAAATGGCTGATATGTTGGAGCAAATGCAACAGTTGCAGTCCCAAATGACAGGACCAGGAAGTGCAACCCAAAACAAATGACACAACCTGTTGTGGAGATATCCGTAGGCATACAAAGCACACTAGCCCCAGGGGGCAATGGTCTTGTAATCTGATCTAACGAGTGGTGGTATGATCCATATGCTCATGGCCATGATTGATGATATGGTGAGGAGACAAGTAAAGAAAGTCAAAGAGAAAGATGATGAAAACTTTCGAATAATTACAAAACCTTACCCAGCATGGGTAGAGAGCTGTTTCCATTCCCTTCTGGTTTTTCCCAACCAGATTTCAAAATGTTTGATGGAACAAGAGATCCAAGACAACATCTGTCTCATTTTCTTTCAAGTGCAAATAGCCTAGAATGAGGCCCTGTGTCTGCAGCTATTTGTTCAATCACTTGAAAGTTCTGCGTTTACTTGGTATGCTAACCTTCCTGAGGGATCAATCCTAAATTGGGATTCCATGGTGAAGGAGTTCCTTAAACAGTTCTGCAACACACAAAGACGAGTTGGAGTACCAGAACTGATTGAGGCCAAGCAACGTGACAATGAGTCTGTTACAGATTTCATTGCAAGATAGTGCGCTTTGACATTTGCTTGTCCTCAAAAGTTTACACAATTAGAGTTAATTCGGATGTGCCTTAACAACTTCCGACATGAGCTCTCTACGGCTCTTATGGCTCAAACTTTTGAAGGATTCAATGATCTATGCACTAAAGCTCATGATATGGAGCTGCATTTAGCTAAACGAAGGAGGTCTAGGGCCGTTGAAAGGGTTGAGTCCTCGACTGCAGCTACAATTGAAACCAGAAAGAAGGGTCTCGTTGTAGTAGGGGCTAAAAAGCCCAAAGAATTTAAAAATGTTACTATGAAAGAGAGGTTGGAGAAGAAATATTCTTTCATGGATGATCTGGTTGAAGACCTATTTGAAGATCTGTTGGAGCAAAAGTTGATTGCTCTCCCTGAGGTGAAAAGACCACATGAGGTAGGAAAGACCAATGATCCAAAGTATTGCCCCTACCATCGTTTGATTAGCCATCCGATAAAAGAGTGCTTTGTTCTGAAAGATAAAATTCAGGAACTTTTGGACTCAAATTATCGAACTCCCTCCTCAAGAGAAAGCATCTGCTAACCCAATCACTATCGATAATGATAATGAAGGTGAATGGGTTGTTTATCAGTCAAAAAGCATGAAGAAAAAACAAAATGCCACAGTGAAAGTTAGAAGTGTGGTTGATTCAACAACACAAGGGCCAAAAGTTTCCAAAAAGAAAAAATCAAAAGTTTCTAGGAAACTAAAAAAAGCCAGAGTAAATAAGAGAAAAGGAAAAAAGACCCCAAAGAAGGAAAAGGGGGAGAAATTGGTCCCTGATGAGCAGTTAGAGCAAGATCCTCTTGTCCCAGTTACATTGGAGGAATTTCTACCTTCAAAATTTCAATCTGTGGAGTTGCAGACATACTTTGATAAAAGAAAGAAGGAAAAGTTTACTTTGGCCCCTTGCCTAACCATCATTGTTTTGAGTGATAGCGAGGAAGATGAGGGTGAAATTGGTTCAAAAGTTAGGGAAGGGGATTGCATTACATCTCCTATCTGTATACCTGACTCACCAGAGTATACACCAACTTCTCCAGAATACACACCAGCCTCACCAGAGTATACACCAGCTTCTTCGGAGTACACAACAGAAGCCTTTTCTCTAAAATATTCGCCAGTAACACCAACATACTATCAAAGCACTCCAGAATATATAAGGGGAGTAGAACAAGGAGACATCGGGTGTAGGTCCGACTCTGAGCTTGTGAAAAAGGAAAAAAAATTACTACACTTCAAGGATAATGAGGTGAATGGCAGGTGTATGTCAGATGATGAAGTATGGAAGCATTCAAGTAAACAAGCAAAGTCATCTCAAGTTGAGGATCCTAATGAAGATTGGGAACATGACTTTTCTCTTGATGGTTCACCATACACATCCCCAGCTAGGACATACGATGGAGAAAGTGTATCAAGTGACCACTTTGACTTTCCTTGTAATGTCATCACAGTGGATGTAAATTTTGAAGAGCGAGACATACATATCATTCGTAATCTAGGCGATGATGAGACAGCAAAAATTGAAGCTAGAAGGGAAGCGAAACATCAGGCAAAAGTAACAGTCTCTTTGCAAGATGAGGGTTTTGAAGCCCATCAAAATTTGATTATTGAAAGAAATCAAATTTCTGGACACCCTTTCCCTAATTTGGTTGAATGGGTTCAGTTCCCACGAGGATATGCAGTACCTCGTTTTCCTTTATATAATGGGACAGGTTGTCCAAGGCACCATTTGGTTTGTTTCCTTGCATAATGTGGAAACACAGTAAAAAGTCAGGCATTACTTCTACGGCAATTCATTCTTTCTTTGGAATGATGGGCAGCAGATTGGTACTTCAGCATGTCACCTAATTCAATCCCAGATTGGGACACCATGGCTGATCAATTCTATAGGACATTTTATAAACCATGGGCAATAGAAATTGAGATGTCAAAACATTCGAATGACGAAGGTACATCTTCTCAAACATATGATTTCATAAAAGGCACAATTGAGGAGAAGATTGAAACTGCCCTTGATCTTCGAGAGATGGGCACTTATCGCCCAAAGGATTTGTTCCCTTTATGGGTAGAGCAAACACCATTTCCTGAAGGATACAAACTTCCAAATTTTGTCCTATATGAAGGGTATGGAGATCCTCAAAAATATATTAGGCATTTTTTGAAACAATGTGGGGAAACAGCTCAAAATCAAGCACTTTGCCTAAAATAATTCCCCCTTTCTTTGGAGGGGATCGCCTTTGACTGGTATTGCTCCCTCGATGGAGTCGTGGTGCCTAGTTGGGAGGCCATGAAGAATGGTTTTGAAGAATCTCAATGCTTTTATAGGCGTGACTCTCGGTACCTAAGAAATAAGAGAAGAATGCAGCTCCAAGAAGATGGAAAAGTGACTGATGATGATGATCACCCTATAGCTGGACCAGTTAACATGGTCTAAATAAGTGAGGGAATAAAAGAAGTTGAGGTCAACGAAAAGGCAGTTGCTGAAGTATGCCAAACTTACTTGACCTACCGGAGGAAATTACGAAATCCTCAGGACCCCCAAACGTCAGAAGTTCCACAGGTTTTGCTGGAGGAAGAGCAAGTGAAATATGACGTACTAGCTCATCTAAAGAAGATTCCAGCATTGTTGAGCGTATATGATGCACTGAAAATGTCTCCAGAGATTCGAAAGTTTTTAATGTATGCCCTGTCCAAGCCAGAGGATTTCTACAAAGAAATCGAGGATAGAAATCAAGAGAAGGCAACTACATGCATGGTTATGGTAACCTTTGGTGACAAAGACATGTGTGCTGAAATGACAGACCATAATCGGCCTTTGTTTTGACTATAATTTTTGGTGATATGCTCCATGACACCATCGAATGCTATGTTGATGATCTTGTCGTCAAGACAAAGGAAAAGGAAAACCATGTGGAAGATTTGAGAAAAATCTTCGAACGTTTGAGGAGGTACAAACTCAAGATGAACCCACTAAAATGTGCATTTGGAGTTTCATCAGGAAAATTTCTTGGGTTGGTGGTTCGAAACAAAGGGATTGAAATTGATCCTACCAAGATTAAAGCCATTGCCGAAATGCATCCTCTACGAAATTTAAGGGAATTGAAGGGGCTACAAGGGAGATTGGCCTATATCAGAAGATTTATTTCTAACTTGGCTGGTTAATGTTTGCCATTCTCAAGATTGATGAAAAAGGGTGTTCCATTTGAATGGGATCAGCAGTGCCAAAATGCTTTTAATAGTATTAAGGAGTATCTCTTGAAGCCTCCAGTACTCATGAGCCCAATAAAAGGGAAACCACTACTGTTGTACATAACAGCCTTGGATGGTTCGTTAGGGGCACTGTTGACACAACACAATAAGCATGGGAAAGAAAATGCATTGTATTACTTGAGTCGTACTTTGGTTGGGGCAGAAGTCAATTACTCTCCTATCGAAAAGACATGTCTTGCCTTGGTGTTCGCCTTGCAAAAACTAAAGCACTATGTCTTGGAACACGAAGCCAAGTTGATATCAAGAGCAAACCCCTTGAAATATATACTTTCACAGCCCATACTTTCAGGGGAAATTGCAAAGTGGGTTGTAATTCTCCAACAATTTGCAATTGAATATGTTCTCCAAAGAGTTGTAAAGGGGCAGGCTCTAGCAGATTTTTTGGCAGCACATCCTATACCTAATGACTCACCTCTAGTAACTAATTTACCAGATGAAGAGGTTATGCAAGTAGAAATTCAGAAAGGATGGGAGATGTATTTTGATGGAGCTTCAAGGAGTCCAGATGGCAAGAAGCAAGAAAATCCTAAAAACAATAAAGCTGGAATTGGAATTGTGTTTGTGGCTCCAGACAATGCTATAATCACCCATTCTTTTGCCTTAAGTGAAGGATGCTTCAATAATGAGGCAGAATATGAAGTTGTAATTGCTGGATTAGAATTGGCATTACAAATTCCTATTAAAGAACTCTCAATTTACGGAGGTTCGGAACTAGTGGTAAAGCAACTCCGTGGAGAATACATTGTTAAGAAAACAAGTCTCATCCCGTATCATGAAAGGGCTGATCAATTGTTTTCGCAATTCAGGAAAACACATATTTTCCATGTGAAGAGAAGAACAAACGCTCGAGCTAATTCACTTGCAAGTTTGGCTGCATCACTCACCCTACCAGATAGCAAAACAATTACTATCACGGTAGGTGAAAGAAGGGTGTTACAACCTTTAAAAGAAGTTTCTGACTTGGTTCCAATCTTGGTCGTCACCATGAAAGGAGAAAACGACGAGGATTGGCGGGAACCATTCATAGCTTACCTCCAACATGGTAGGCTACCTGAAGATAAAGTAAAAAGAATTGAAGTGAGATGCAGGGCTACCAAATTCGTGCTGTGGAAAGATGGAACGTTATACAAAAGGTCTTTGGATGGAATGTACATGCAGTGTATAGCCAATGAGCGTATTCAAGAGGTAATGGCAGAAATACATGCAGGTGTATGTGGGGCACACCAAAGTGGTCGTAAATTACATATGTAGCTAAAACGGTTGGGATACTATTGGCCGACTATGATTGCAGATTGCATAGATTATGCTCGAAGATGCCAAGTCTGCCAATTCCATGGGAACTTTCTCCACCAACCCCCAGAGCCTTTACATTTAACAACTTGTTCTTGGCCGTTCTTGGCCATTTGTAGCATGGGAGCCTTCAGACTCAAACTCCAGAATGCTCACCTATACACACACACACACATAATGAGCTAAAGCCCAATGAATAACATTAAGGTAAAGGTGAAGATAAAGTAAAAAGAATTGAAGTGAGACGCAGGGCTACCAAATTCGTCCTGTGGAAAGATGGAACGTTATACAAAAGGTCTTTGGATGGAATGTTCATGCGGTGTATAGCCAAGGAGCGTATTCAAGAGGTAATGGCAGAAATACATGCAGGTGTATGTGGGGCACACCAAAGTGGTCCTAAATTACATATGCAGCTAAAACGGTTGGGATACTATTGGCCGACTATGATTGCAGATTGCATAAATTATGCTCGAAGATGCCAAGTCTGCCAATTCCATGGGAACTTTCTCCACCAACCCCCAGAGCCTTTACATTTAACAACTTGTTCTTGGCCATTTGCAGCATGGGGTATGGACATTATTGGTCCTTTTGTACCTCCATCTTCAGCAGGTTATCGATATATCCTAGCTGCAACTGACTATTTCTCAAAATGGGTAGAGGTCGTGGCTTTAAAGGATATAAAAAGCACAGTTGTCTCTAAGTTCATCCGAACCCATATCATTTACAGGTTCGGGATTCCAGAAAGTATCATCATGGATAATGGACAGTCATTCAGGAGTGATGCTTTGAACAAGTTATTTGCCAAGTACAAAATCAAAACAACCATTCATCAAGATATCATGCACCTGCCAATGGTTTGGCAGAAGCTTTCAACAAGACACTGTGCAAAATTCTTAAGAAGATGGTGGATAAGAACAAAAAAGCTTGGCACGAAAAGTTACAAGAAGCTTTGTGGGCTTATCGGACTTCGCACAGAACTCCTACTCAAGCAACCCCTTATTTGTTGGTTTTTGGAGGAGAAGCAGTGTTATCACTTGAGGTTCAAATACCATCATTGCGAGTGGCAATACAAGAGTCCCTAACAGAAAATGAAAGTGCAAGAGTGAGGTTGGCTGAGCTGGAGACCCTGGATGAAAGAAGGTTGTATGCTCAACAGAACTTGGAGATCTACCAACAAAGGATGGCAAATGCATTCAATAAAAGAGTGAGGCTTCGTTCCTTTAAAAAAGAGAGACTTGGTACTAATGGTTAGAACACCCATAGTAGTCTCACGAAGAACCAAAGGAAAGCTTGAGCCCAAATGGGAAGGCTATTTGTTGATAATGATGGATGGTGACAGAATTATTCCCCCAACCAATGCAAGGTTCTTAAAGAGATATTACCCTTAAGAAAGCCTGCTAGGTTGAAAACCCGAAAGGGCGGCCTAGGCATAAGTTAGGGCAAAAAAAAAGCCAAACAAAAGTCAAAAACCACCGGTATTGTATGTGGTTAAACTGCTAAAATATCCCACCGAAATCTAAGGTGGTAAAACACTGGATACTCTTGGCCCGCAAGAGTATAAACTGTGTACGGCCAAACAAAAGTCAAAAACCACCAACGGTATTGTATATGGTTAAACTGCTAAATATCCCACCGAAATCTAAGGTGGTAAAACACTGGATACTCTTGGCCAGCAAGAGTATAAACTGTGTACGGCCAAACAAAAGTAAAAAACCACCAACGGTATTGTATGCGGTTAAACTGCTAAAATATCCCACCGAAATCTAAGGTGGTAAAACATTGGATACTCCTGGACCGCAAGAGTATAAACTGTGTACGGCTAAACAAAAGTCAAAAACCCACCAACGGTATTGTATGTGGTTAAACTGCTAAAATATCCCACCGAAATCTAAGGTGGTAAAACATTGGATACTCCTCGGCAGCAAGAGTATAAACTGTGTACGGCCAGACAAAAGTCAAAAAAACCACCAACGGTATTGTATGTGGTTAAACTGCTAAAATACCTCACCGAAATCTAAGGTGACAAAACATTGGATACTCCTGGCCCGCAAGAGTATAAACTGTGTACGGAAAAAATAAGACAACTCAATGTACTGTATTGAGAAATTTCATATAACAAATAAATCTATTGTGTACGGCTAAAATAAGACAAATCAATGTATTGTATTGAGAAATTTCGTATAACAAATAAATTCATCACTGAGCGAAATTTCATAAATACATTATGTTCGGATGAATAACAAAATAAAAGTGCATTCATTCATTAAGAGAAGCCTTAGCCCTTTCAAAGGCACGTTCCACAACACTGTGTTGTCCATTCTTTTTCTTATGTTGGCTCAAAACATTCAGAGCAGTTTGCACGTCTTCTTCTGATTTAGAAACACTCTCAGAAGCTTGTGCAAAATCACACATAAAGGATGCATGTTCCGCTTGGGTAGATGACAATTCCTCTTCAAGTTGTTTGAGTAACTCTTTGGTTTGAATAAACCTTTGATTAAGACCTGCATAGACGTGTGGACATGCATCCATGCCTAATTACCTGAGTCCATATAACATAGTTCATTACTAGGTCAAAGAAAACGACACTCACAAGTAGAACAAGCTCATCAAATTCTAGCTTTGATCTAAAAACCCTCCACTATCATACCGTTTTCGAAGTATGTGGTGTTATCATGTTCTTTCCTATTCCATGTACCATAAAGATCAGCATCCTAGGTAAAATTAGAAATCCTAAGTTTGTGACTCGGCTTGCTGGTGTTCATTTACTTGGTCAATTGCTTTGCTTGGAAATTTGAATGTAGACATGGTGATGTGTCCCCTTCAATCGCACTAGGTTTAACATATAAAGTGAAACCGCATTGCATGTTAACTTGGACTGTTAAATATTTGGAATTGTAATTTGATGAATTGCATTTCCATAGAATAATGTCGTTGTTTGGTATAACCTTGGAATTGCTTCGTACTTTTTTTTTTATGCTTATTTACTTTCTTCAAATTTGCTATAATTCTGTATTGAACGAATCAGCCTCTTCTAGTGATACTAGTGTTTAGAGTCTATGCACTGTTCCCTTATATTAAGATAGTTCCTGTTTTAAGTGAATTTATGTAAAGCATGCCATAAACAATTATGCCAAATTAATAATATTTTGTAATATTGAGCGAAATTTCATAAATACATTATGTTCGGATGAATAAAAAAATAAAAGTGCATTCATTCATTAAGAGAAGCATTAGCCCTTTCAAAGGCACGTTCCACAACATTGTGTTGTCCATTCTTCTTCTTGTGTTGGCTCAAAACATTCAGAGCAGTTTGCACGTCTTCTTCTGATTTAGAAACACTCTCGGAAGCTTGTGCAAAATCACACATAAAGGATGCATGTTCCGCTTGGGTGGATGACAATTCCTCTTCAAGTTGTTTGAGTAACTCTTTGGTTTGAATAATCCTTTGATTAAGACCCGCAATGTGCTCATCCGACTTGATAATTGAAGCAGACAATTGTTCATGTTCGCCAGAAACTTTGTCGAAATGAAGCTTCTTCTCATAATATTGGGCCTCAAATTCTGCAGTAGACAAGTTTGAAGAATCTTCAAGTTGGGTTTTCAAAGCAAAGCACCCAAGGAATATCTTCACCTTCTCGTAAAAGGAGTTGAAGTCTACACCCAAACTCTTCAAAATCATGAAAATGTTGTTTGCTACAGCAATCATGCCATTAACATCCGTCATTGATTGGAGAGAAATAGTAAGACCTTTCTGAATATGGGTGGCTGCTTCGTTAGAGGAAGTTCCCAAAAGAAGGTTAGATGGAGCAAAGGGTGCTTCAAGTTTGTCGAATAATTTGTTAACCCCATTTGCTTCAAGTAAGTCTGCAAGAATTTGGGCCTCTTCCGAGGTATCAGAAGTAATTTCGTCTGTCTTTTCCAATGTGTCAGAAGTATTTTCTGTGAAAATAGAAGGAGATACTCAATGAAAACACAGAAGGTAAAAACAATATATATATATATATGAATGAAGTATACATTGGTGTACGGCTTGAAGAGACTTAGGTGGAGGAGACAAGTTGTGATTCCCACAAGCAGACCATGGATTTTGCAATGTGGCATGATCTAAAGAGAAAAGAGTTCTTTGAGTATCTATACATGATGAAATAAAATGAGGTACAAGAAATGAATAAGAATACCCTTAAAGGTAGCCAATGGCATATGCGAGGCAGCTGGGGAAGTCCGAGGCGCAGTGTCTAAGAAAATGAAAGGTATTAAAAAAAAATAATAATAAATAAAAAATTAAAAATTAAAAAAAATTAAAAAATAAAAAAAGAAAAAAAGAAAAGAAAAAAAGAATTATACCTTTCTCTAATAGCTTGGATGACTCGTTCGAAGGAGAAGAAAAAGCTACATTTGCTTAAGGCGATTTACTCATCTTAGTCGGTGTGCCATCTAAAAGAGGGGTGTAGTCATAAAACTCATCTTCACTCTCGCTACTTCCATTGAGAGAACAATCAAAAGATTTGGTAGGAGAAGGAATTTCAACACTCTTAATGCGAATACGACCCAAGGCAGTTAATTCATACCCATCTCCCTCAAAGGGTTCTTGAATCATATTCTCATCTTTATCTTCAAGAAAAGAGTACAAGTATGTGCAAAATTGATCCATTGGGGTTTTGGTCGCTACGGTGGGTTGGGAAGTTCCTGTACAATCACTGATAAACATAGTCTCTGGAAAAAGCTTTGCGAGATTAGAAAATTGAGGACCAAAATCTACTTGCTCAAAGCTAAATCTCATTTTAAATTGAGAATTACACATATCCTCGAAAAGATGAAGGAGATTTGAAATCGAGTAACTAGATCGAGAAGGAGCAATAAGTGGTCGACTATTATCCATTATTTGAGGTGATGATGCTTCCAGAGCAATAGGTGAAGATGATGACCTAGCTCTAGAGTAAGAAGGAGTCTTCGTCTTTCGGTCTTTAATTGACATATCCAGTTTTCTCTTGCGTGAAGATTTTGGCTGGGTATGAGTAACATATTGAAGCACGGTAAATGAAGTTCCCAACCACCAATTGGCATAAGGCATGGTTACGTGAGAAGTAGAACGGGAGCCTGGTAACTCCAATGAGACTTTTGTACCGCAACGTAGCATATGGCGCCAGTTGTAATAAAATTTAGACCACTCAGAGGGCTACCGACAAGATACATTAAGCGGTGTAGGGCATGCTTGAGCAAACCCAAATTGATGACCGTATCGGCTAGGGGAGTACGGTTCAGAAATGAAGTTAAATCCCATTTTAAAAGTTAAAATCCCTTGCCTCAAAGATATAAGATAGCCAATGTGCAACGGTGATATCCTTTCAGAGTCGACCAGAACGCCTGAAGGTTCACTTTCATGGGTAAGAGCCCTAAACTGACACTCCGTAGGATAAGTTAGGAGAGAGTCCACAAATGGAAATTTATTAGTAAAAAACTGGGCAGCCGATTGGTTTCCAATAAACCCAAGATATGGCATGAAATTAATATCAGAAATCGGACAAATCGACTGAGGATCCCCATGAGAGTAAGTCTTAACAAAATATAATGAAATCCATCCAAAAAGGTAATATAAAGGACCCTGAATATTTTCTTTCCCAGGTGAAGATGATGATGCCATTTTACCAAGAAAAATGATAGAGGTATGCAAGGACGGGGATGGCCAGGCTAAATAAGGTTCCACCTGCCATTTTGGTGGCTACATGAAAGGTCGTCGCACGAATTACCCCGGAAGAGTGAGGGAAGACAAATCCGCTAAGCTAGCTCGCCAAAAAAACCAGAAAGATACACATCATCAGGAATTCTATCTTTTCGTTGAAAACCACTAATCGAAGTGGGGGTTTCATCAATGAATTTGAAAGTCCAGTGGTTAAACTTCTTGGATTGAGAAGAGCTGGCATAAATGTTGAAAAGCCCACGACATGCCTTGGATGTCTGGGACGAATATAAAATGTCATTGGAGGGGGTGAACTCTTCATAAAACTCAGCATGGATGGGGAGCCCACTAATGCGATGAAGGTCCCATAAAGAGATCCCAAGTTCGCCGTAAATGGTGTGGAAAGTGTTGGTGTCGAGTGACCACCGCTCTAAGAATCCTTTGAGCAGGGCGACATTCCTAGCATAAGCAAATTGGGATACATAGATTGCAGCATAAATCCCACACTTCTTCAAAATAGGGGCAAATGTGGAAAGAACGTCATTCAACCAAAAAATCCTTATAGGGGATTGGAA